GGACCTTGGAGGTCATCTAGTCCAACCCCCTGCTCAGGCAGGAAACCCTATACCATTTCAGACAAATGGCTGTCCAGTCTCTTCTTAAAAACTTCCAGTGTTGGAGCATTCACCACTTCTGGAGGCAGGTTGTTCCACTGGTTAATTGTTCTAACTGTCAGGAAGTTTCTCCTTAGTTCTAGGTTGCTTCTCTCCTTTTTTTCTCATGGCAAATTCTTTTATTTCTACTCTTTTGGATATTATAATCTGTATATTCTATATAGTAGTATTCCTGAACCGTGGCAACTTTAAAATGTGTGGACTTCAACTCCCAACATTTCCCAGACAGCCTGTATATTAACTGTAACTACATAAGTAGAACTTTTTGGTAAAAATTCAAATGGGATTTGTATGTTTCCATTTAGCTAATTATATGGATAATTGGAAGTGCACTGGAATACTGAAAGGCAATGGAAGTCCAGTCAATGCTAGTTCCGCACAGCAGGGAGTTTTTAATGCTCCTGTTGGCACAGCAACTTCAACTTTCCAGAATTCAGCCAATGGAGCATCCGTTGGCAGGTAGGTTTCTTTTTATGAGAACTTCACATTGTTAGTTCTTAATTCTCTAAATATCTCCTTTGATCTCACTGAAAACTTGAGCATGTCTATCATTTTCATACTTATTCTTGTTTAATTACAAAAATCACTTCAGTTGTTCAATTATGCTTGTTCTATTAGTGCTGCACCAGACCAGTTCTAATATACATAATGGACAAAATATGAACAAATGCTTTCATTTATCATTCATCTTCTATTTCAAATGCTGATATGCAGTAATATGGAATAGGTAGGGATAGGAAGCACTATCCACTCTATGTTTTTCCTGTTTACTATAATCTCATTTTCTTATAATTGACCACTAATTACCTTGCTATCTTTCAATCAAATTCCATACTAGACATACTGAAGGGAGAGAAAATAAAATTTGCCAGCCTTTTAATGCCTAGATTCAAATCTATGGTCTGGCTGCATTCTGGGCCATGAGGTTTAAAACGAAATGTCAGAGCTGGAAAAGATAAAGTGACCAAAAATTATCAAGCAATTAGAAAAACAACTGTACAAGTGAAAGGAATTCTAGGATTCTTTAGCTTGAAAAAAAGGCAACTTAAAGGGACATGATATGGGTGGGTAAAATTATATAAGATGTAAAAGATATGGGCAGGGAGATGTTTCTCTTCCTCCTAAGGCGTTATTCAATGACACTGATTGGATAACTGAAAGGAGATTTAGTACAGATGAAAGAATTAATTCTTCACACAACATATACTTAAATGTGGAATTCATTAGATGATGTAATAACCAATAGCTATAAGTGTCTCTCCACTTGTAGGAGAACAACAGTGGAGGAGGGATATGTCTCAGTCTCTTGCTTATAAGCATTGCAGAGGCATGGTTGGCCACTGTGAGAAAAAATATATAAGGTGGACTTTGGCTTGATCCTTTGACTTCATAGTTTCCATATTCCTGCATCATGAAATGTTTGGGAATAGTATTTTTCTTCAGTTCTGTTCTTTACCTGAGAATCAGTTTGTTTAAAAATTTTCAATACACAAGTTGTCATTGGCTTATTAAATTTTTAGGACTGCCATTGGAATGGGATATAGCTGTAATAGCTACATTGATAGTTACAATCACGTATGATAGATTGCCATTTTTATACAAATACAGGAGGAGATATTTTATAAAAATCAAGGTATTGTTAAATATAGTATATGTCTTTCGATGAAGCTAAGCGACTGGGCAGTTTTCTATGGCATTCAGAAAATATAGCTGCACTTCTTTAGATAAATACATCCTTATTTCATAATGTTTTTTGTCCTAATATATACACTTTTCCTTAAACATTTTCACCTTTTGTCCCTGTGCTTATTAAACTTCTTTTAACTAGTTACCAGTCTTAACTACCAGTTTAAATCAAGCAGGATACTTGTTTATATTTCCCCCTGAAGATTGTGGAAAGCTGTCATTTCAAATCATGATTTAGGTTCAGGAATAAGAACAATTATGAGAAAAAATATCGGAAAATATCTTGCTTTTTGTTAGCAGCTTGAAAGTAGAACAAAACCAGCTACATGTAATTTATTTCCTAAAGATTTTATGAGAACTAGAATGTAAATTCTAGCTTTTAGAAACAAGTTGATGGGTGCTTTACTGGTTCTAGGGCACAGTGTTTTGGTACTTTGTTAATCAATTCAAGTAACACTACTAACGTGTTAGAAGATCAAAGTAATTATTTTATACTTAACATAAAAGTGATAAGTTTGAAAAGTGATTGGAGAATTAATCAACCTATCAACTACTGCTTTACAGTATTCTTATTGTGCTTATAACCATGTGTGTCTAAAATTGTTATGCATTTTCCTTTCCCCATTTGTATTATGTCCTTTTTAACAGAAAGCACAGCTGATACCAAGCTAACTGGAGTAACTTTGCTGTTTTACTGCTTGTTGCATGCACACAGGAATGGAAAGCGATATTTTCCCCCTCCCCATCGGCGTCTGACCTCTTCCAAAGACACCAGCAATCTGTCTACTACTAAATGCAAATCAAAACATTCTTTTAAAAAATGTTACATATGTACTCTACTAGCCAGCACAGTATGATCTTGTTGGAATCTGTAACAAAAAAGTAACAGGATTCTTTTATGGATTCCATTCCTTCCCCTCAAAAAGACATGTTGCGAGAGAAAGACGGAATTCACTAATGTAAAGAGGATTATTGTCCTTGCATTCTAAGCTTGTTAGGAGATAAATCCTTAATGTAAAACAATTGGAGTAACTGTTTTTCATTAAAATTGTTTTGAATATTTTAACTTTGTTTGGCTTTTGAAGTGTTCACATAGACTCTTAACAATTAGTTTGCTAATGGATTGTAATAAACAATTAGTCATAAACAATGTGGGCACATTGTAATTTGGCAACTGTGGAGTTGATATCAGATTATTTTGGTATTATTTCTGAACTACATCAAATGAAAATCATAAAACTTATTAGTAACTAGTAACTATTAGTAACATATTTTTGTTGTCTTGATAAGAATGATCTGAACATACCTGATAATTGCATGTTATAGTGGCATGAATCATGCAATAATTAGTAGGATTTCATCTTCTTGGTATTGTGATGAAAATCTAGTCCAAATGAATGTTTGTTCTATGGTATTATTAATTTGGTATAGGAATTATCATCTTGTGACCCCAACCAGTTCCTGCATTACCAAGTATTTACACCCTGCTCTGTGCAGTGCAGTTGTTGCCTTGAAATAAACCAAAGTGGTGTCCTAGTGCAAACATTCAATTAATAGCTTGTTTTATATAGTGGCATGTCAGTGTGGCTTTAAATATGTCTTGTCTCAAAATTTACTAACTTTTCTGTTCTGTAAATTTATGTACATTTCCAAAGATTATAAAGATTACAAAGTTTTCTTCAATTACGGGTAAGTCATAAGAAGAGATATGGAATGATCTTTTAAGCCATTAATTCAGAAATCTTTGGTTATCTGGTGTTTTTTCCAGAGGGATGTATATAAGCACACAGACTGTTATTGCATTGGAAAAAGAATAACTCTGTATATTGTGAAAATCTTAACATTGTAAAACTGTGTTTATCTTTATCTTTAAATTTGATGTATTCATCTGAGTAGAGTTGATCTAAATGGGATGCAAATGAGTAGACCAATCTGGATAAATAATTTGTGTCTGTTTTTCTGTAATTGCATTAAAACAGCATGATTTGTAGGGATAAATGAGAAGGCACGCGATAGTTCAGAATCAGTTAACTTACATGTAGTATATTCATTTTACCATGAATGTAAGGCACACTTTCTATTGTCTCCTATGATAATTTTCTTTCAGAATAGTTTCTAGACTTTAAAAACTTGAGCTGAGAACTTGATTTTGTTCCTTTCATTTTGTCCCAGCATGTGTCTCTCCTCTCTGATTCTTGTATTTACCATTATTCTTTCTGTTTTTCCCTTCTGTGTGGTGTTCCTGTCTGAATTGTTTTCAGGTATTTTTTCCCCCCTCTGGATTCCCCATGGGCTGGATCAAGATGGTCCAGTTATGCCCAGCTCTTACCACCACCACCACCACCTCCTCCTCCTCTTCCTCCTCTGATAGAGCACTCTTGTGATGCTGACACTGCCAATATCCGGTATCCTCACCCTCGCAGACGATATATCTCTCGACCTCTTAAGCTCTTACGTGAACATGAAGGGGTTTAATGCATATTTAAAGCTGTATTAAAGCCTAACTCACATGCTTTAAAAAAAATCTATTTCTTTTGGCTATTCATTTAGGTTTTTTTTTACATTTTTTCCCAACCATAATTCAGAATGGGTTTTTAAAGGATATGTAATGCAAACTACAATATTTCAAATTTACTATGTTTAGTTCTGCAGATAATAAGAACTAGTACTCTACTATTAACTCTCAACAATCTAATGCAGCATTCAGGATAAATTATGTGAAACAGTATTTTATCATTTAAAAATATTCAGTTTGTTATAATCTGTTAGCAATTCACTTTGTATTGTTTGGGAATAATTTCTTAAAATTAAATGCAGATTGGAAAAAAAACTGCCCCATAGTATAGAAGTAAATTAAAAACTCTTTACATTTTTAGTATAAGAATCTTTTAGGTCATCAGATTTCTTAGCTTTTTTCCATCTTTCACAATTTTTTGAGACTTCAAAAATAAAGTACACATCCCTACAACAAAATAGGAATATTTGTTATTTGTGTAAATGTTCTCATTGTTTAATGATATCCACTACAGTTATAGGAAAATAAAACATTGAGAAAATATGTAATGTTTTGCCTTCATTTACTTTAAAGTATAAGGAAAAATTTGGGAAATGGTGTTTTACCTTATTAAAGATTTTGTTTTTATTTATCATTATTTATTTGCTGTCTTATCTTAATGGCCAATGACATGTTTGAAAAAGAAATTGCCAGGTGATAGAAAACGAGTGGGGTGACACGTGAGAGTAACAGGACTGCTATATTAGACAGGAAAAATCTAGACAATTTGTAAATACCAAAGAGGTATAAAAGCCTTTCTTTGCTGTGATCCAGCAATTGTCCAGATATTTGCATTCCTGAGAGAAACATATGTAGCATCTCTACATTTCAAATGAAATAGTATTTTTAAATCCAACTAACTTTATATCTAATAAACCACAATGGGACTTTTTTGCTTTGACTCAATGTATAGTGTGAATCCTGCCAGTGTCCCAAAGGTGCTTTTTCCAAAAAGCAACTTGAGGTTTTTTTTTCCCTTTAAAAACATTTTGCTTTTCTTCCCAAAAGTTTCTTCAGTTCTACTTTTTCAGAAGTTTTTTCTTGGATGAGAAGTGAAATGTTTTCAAAGGAAAAAAAAACCCAAGAAAAAGGACCTTTGGGATAACCATGACCTGAATGACTGAGAATCTCTGTAGACATCCTGCCAGTGTGTATACCTGGGAAGAAAAATCCAAAGAATAATATTCCCAGAGGCTGATGAACAGATTAGCTTCAAAACATAAGTGTGCGACACTGTTTTCTTTATAGGGTAAACTGAAAGGGCTTCTCAACAGCCGAGGAACTGGAGGTCTCAGTAAATTGCTGAAAACTTATTGCTAGCTGCTACCAAAGCAAATGCTGTGTATGTTAATAGCCCCTTCTCTCCCCCCTCCCCCAGTAATAATGTATTTGAAGCCTTTTCCATCTTGCCCTAGTGCAGGGGTCTTCAAACTTGGCCCTTTTATGACTTGAGGACTTCAACTCCCAGAATTCCTCAGCCAGACACGCTGGCTGAGGAATTCTGGGAGTTGAAGTCCATAAGTCATAAAAGGGCCAAGTTTGAAGACCCCTGCCCTAGTGCGTTGCTATATCAAAATCAATTAGCAAATCTATTAACAGCACTTCTGTAGCATGGTAAATAGCATTAAAGCAGATTCCATGCAACCTTGCGGGAGGAACTAATTAGGTGTCAAACTGCCGGCCCGCGGGCCGGTTGCATCACACGGAGGCCGCGCCCACCCAGCGCCGGCAATGCAAAAAAAAGTCGCGACACGTCACGTGACGCGGCGAGTTTGACAAACGTGCTTTTGCAATTTTAGATAAAACTACCAACTTTCTCCAAAATGGTGCCTTTCAAATGTAGTAGCTTCCATTATCTCCCCAACATCGTTACTTTTCTGTGTCTGTGGGCGAGTTCCTGTGAATCAGGATTAGAGCGCCGGACACCTTCGTAGTTTTAACAAGACATCCAGCCGTCACTGCTTCCCCAGGATTCAACACCTTGATTATCCCAGGCCATTTTGAAAGCAAGCGCGTCACTTCCCTCTCGCCCAATCAAAGGGCCGCAGCCCTTCTCTTCGGGGTGATCTCATAATCCAATCGCGTTCGCGTCTCTGCGCCTCTAATCTCCGCCTTTTTTTTCTTGAACGAAAGCCTGAGCGGGTTTGCTTGGGCGCCTGAAGGGAAGGTGCGCGTGCGCATCGTCTGGGGAAGAAACGGGGGCGGAGAGAGGGGCGGGGGTGGGTAGGGGGGTGAGAGGATTATTTTCTTTTTCTCAGTTCGAGGGTGGTGGGATTTGGGGACTTCCGGGACGCCTTGGGGCGGTTTCCCGCGTGCCTCGAGGCGCCCGCGAGCCCTGTCTGGCTGTTGCGCTTCGCCTGGGATTAGGTGAGCGTTTTGTTTCCTGCACATCCTGAAGGCGGCTAAATGCGGGGGAGGGGAGGGGCGGAGGCGAAGTTAAGTCAGTTCCCGCTCTTCGTCGCGAGGCGCTCGGAACTTCTTAAGTCTTCCCCCCCCCCCCCGGTTTTACTACTCCCGCTGCGTTGGTACCGGCGTTTCGAGGAGCCAGTTTCGAGTGCGAGCGACGCGCTGAGATAGCAGGACGGGAGCCGGACCTCGCTCGTTGTGATAGGGAAGAGCTCTTGGCCATGGGACGGAGATGAAATTGGGCTCCTCATCCTAATATTTTTTTTTGGCGGACGGGATTTTGAACACCTGTGAGCATCCCAGCTCTTAATTCTTGGATGCCCTTCCCCTGCCTAAAGGGAGCAAGGGCCGCTTCTGTGTCAAACTAAATGGGGTAAACATTCGCCAGCACTGAGACCCGTAACTTAGCGAAGGACCTAACCCAGGGGTAGGCAACCTTGGCTCTTTTATGACTCGTGGACTTCAACTCCCAGAATTCCTGAGCTAGCAGGCTAGCTCAGGAATTCTGGGAGTTGAAGTCCACGAGTCATAAAAGAGCCAAGGTTGCCTACCCCTGACCTAACCTATTGCTTTCTAGTTGCGTTGAGCTGTGAGACTATGTGAAATAGAGTTAAGACCTATCGCATCTGGAGGGCACCAGGTGGAGGGAAGGATTAGCCTCACCTTACAATGTTTGTAACCAGTTGCAGGCTAATACTTTGCTCAGTAGGTCTTGTTTATGCCTCCTGGGTCAGAAGACGTGGTCGCTAGAGCCTAAGTTGTCAAGTTATACAATCCCAACTACTGTGAATAGCTGGGTGTTCCTCCTGCTAATCTACTTGTCTGCTTAAGGCAGTGTTTTTTAACAAAGATTAGTATGAATAAACTCATTAAACAAAGGCGTTTTTATGGCAGGCAGGTGAAGAAATAGACAAGTTCGCAAAAGCTTTCTCTGCAGTGAATAAAGGAGCTTTTCTGAACTACAGTTTATTTCTTCGTGTGCCTGCTATAAAAAAAGACCCTTGTTTTAATGAATTGTTAGAAGTTTAACAGAAAGGCTCGTTTTGTTTTTACAAAAATGTGAGCTACAGGCAGCCCTCGACTTACAACCACAATTGAGCCAAAAATTTATGTTGCAAAGTGAGAAATTTGTTAAGTGAGTTTTGGCCCGTTTTATGACTTTTCTTGCCACATTTGTTAACTGAATCACTGCAGCTGTTAAATTAGTAACACGGTTGTTAAGTAACTCTGGCTTCCCCATTGATTTTGCTTGTCAGAAGGTTGCATGACCACACGACTTCAACAGTCAGAAATGTGAGCCAGTTGTCAAGCATCCGAATATAAATCATGTGACCCTGGGGATGCTGCAATGGTTGTAAGTGTGAAAAATGGTGATGTCATTTTTTTCAGTGCCATTGTAACTGAACAATCACTAAACTGTTGTAAGTCGAGGAGTACCTGTATTGCAATTAAAATTGTTGAAGATTTTAGCTGAATGTTTTATTGGTAGAAGACAGGTATGTACAGTTTAGTTTGTTCTCTTGGTTTTAGATCACAACTTTTGCACTCCTTTGTCTTTGGAGGTGTTGGCTGGATCTGGGGGCAATTGAAGTCTAGATGTTAGGGAGGTAATAAGTTGTTTAGCAGGATGTAAATGCACAGTATGAATAGTACATTCAGGTTTTTTTCTGTACCCAAGTCATTGATGGCAATTTCACTACAGCAGTTGTACAAGTTAGGATTGGTTTAAAAACACATTTCCCCTTCATTTTTAGCACACTTCGGATGCTGAACTCTCAAACAAAACTTTTTATAATAATCTGAATTAAAAGCTAAAGTTAAATCAATGCATGTGGTGATTAAATAGACTGAGAATGTTCTAGGAAAGAATTAACCATGCTTTTTGTTACTGTAAAAGTTAAATAAGGCTATCTCTTTGGTAAAATATTTAATACCAGTAAAGTGTAATTGCAGTGTTCAGAAATATACTTGATTATTGAGTTACTTTAGTTTTATGAAAGATAACTTTCATGTATTCAACATTTAGGTAACAGAAATACATGGTACAGTAGAAAAGTAATACATAGCAATGTTAGAATTATAAATTTAAAATTTATAAAATTATAAATTTTCTTGTTTATGTTTGTATTAAAACTTTCAGACATTATGAGACAGTAATATGGAAAACTTCAAACATATTGGGGATGAGACATTTCCAAGTGTTTTGGTCAACTCTATAGCTAACCATACCAATGAAATTTTAGACAATATCACACTTCCATCAAATCTTGGTCTTCCAGTTGCTGCGTCAACAGAAACCAGACAAAATGGTTCTCAAAGCAGGTAATGCACTTAATAGAATGTGTAAACTGAAAGATTTTTCATGGCTACTAATTTATGAATCTTAAATTGTTTCCAGACC